AAAGAAAAAGGAACAGTTTGAAGCTGAGTTGGAAGAACTTGGATCGATTAGAGAAATGCAGCTAAAGGAGTCTGAAACATCTGGGAGAATTAGTGGACTTGAAAAGAAAATCCAGTATGCTGATATTGAGAAGGTAGCTTGACGATCTAATATCTAAGCAGCTCCCTTTCTGCCTTTTAACGGAATGCTCTCTTTAAAGGGAAAAAATGTTTCTATAGAGGTGGTATTTCAAGTTTTTGTAGTTGACTTTCTTCTCTCAGTATTGTTTTAAAGAGGAGATAATTTTTTTGATCCATAATGGTTTGTTGATTCTATTGATTTCATAGGTCAATTTTTTTTTTCATTTTTTTGTTTTGGGAAGGTAATATATACAGTTTATGGTAAAAAACTGACAATATTTGATATGAACCATAATGGACACTTTAATGCTTTTTTTATTGTGTTGAAGTGTTTATTGATCTTTTTATTTTTAATTGATTTCCATGAGAAGCATAACATAAAATGTTTTTTTTTGCAGAAAAGCATAGAAGACAAGCTTAAAAGCTTGAAGCAAGAGAAGAAAAACATTAAGGATAGGATTGGACATATAACTCCTGAGGTTCAAAAGGTAATTTATGATGACAATTATGCTTTTATTCTCTGGTATTATGTTGTTGCTCTTATATATTTAATTGGTGGCAGTTGAAGGATGTAACTGATAAAAGGAACAAAGACATCACGAAGCTGGAGAAGAGGATTAATGAAATTGTTGATCGACTCTTCAAAAGTTTTAGTCAGTCTGTAGGGGTGGCAAACATCCGTGAGTATGAAGAAAATCAGCTCAAGGCTGCCCAGAACATGGCAGAAGAGAGGCTTAGCTTAAGTAATCAACTTGCAAAGTTGAAGTATCAGTATGTTTTCTTTCTTTCTAAATATTTTCTTTTTAAATGTCTCATTTGATGTAATATATGTTTTTGCTGATTTTAACCTTCCTGATGACGCATAAATGTATAATGGCAACTATTTTTGCTTAAATTCTTCATTAAGTAGTGGCCACTGGAGGGTTGCATGCCTGTTAGATGTAAAGACTCTTGTAGCATGGAAGTGGTAATACTGCAGACCTCCAAGGAAAGGGAGAAAACAATACATTTTTGCCTAAAGAATAGGGTAGTAGATGCGTCACGCCATTGGCACACAAATCCTTTTACTATGGTCAAACGTTTGAAACCACTTTGTCATATCAGCGTTTTGGATGAACTTTGAATCTGTGATCTCTAAAATGCTCCCTTTAATGCCTTATAGAGTAAAGAGACACTAAAATTATGAATGGAAATGAGCTATTTTTACTGTAATACTGATTATGCTGAATTGGCTAGAAGTGAACCTAAAGAAAGGTGAAAGCCTTTAGGTAAAAGGTTACACGGTGGCATTTAGTGACTAACAGATGCTAGGCAGTTTAAATTGTATTCGGACATTTGGTTTTGGTGGGCATACTGCTGAATCATGTAAATGTTTCTTTTGCCTGTGATTACTACAATAGCATCTTGCTCTTTTTTTTTGAGACTTTGACTAGAATCTAATGAAAAATAGGAGTTGGATTTTTCTGTTTTGCTGCTTTACAAGGTTTCAACCTATTATTTATTGTCAATGGCATAGCAGCAGTTGGTTGACATGTACTCTTCTTTCTTACTTCTAGGTTGGAGTATGAGCGTAAGCGTGATGTAGAATCAAGAATTAAGAAGCTGGAGTCTTCTATCAGTTTCTTGGAAAATGATTTAAAACAGGTTCACAAAAAAGAGGCTGAAGTCAAGCTGGCAACAGAAAAGGCTTCTGAAGACGTCAATCGTTGGAAGGAAGAAGTGAAAGGTATGGTTTTGACCATACATTCATCGTGCATTTTTATTTTTTGCCACAAATTCTTTCAAACTGAGAGTTTATAAATTATTTCAATTCTTGCAAGGAAATCAGCTTTTTAAGTCACAAACTCCTAATGCAATCAAGATGCATCAGCAAATTGACACTTGGATCTAATAATTTACTTCTGTAGATCATGATGTGCCATGTTTTCAAGTGACTCATCTCTGGCATGTTATACAGTAGCAATTTGCAGCAGTAAATAAGTATAGAAAACTTTAGTTCCAGCAGTGCAGTGTCTGTAGACTGACCAGCATGATGTATGCTAATAGATTATCCTACCCAGCAGTTGAGAGTTTATGAAAGCCGAATTAAGTCATTAACAATGAACTAAGAGTGGGGAATGACTTCTTAAGACTTCGTAACTTGTTTCTTTATAACCGTGCTAGTTTTCTAATATAACTTCTGAGTGTTTATTAAAATTATTAAATGAAGTCAGTGAAATTCAACCTGGTATATGATAGCTGGCTGTAGCAAAGAGCTCTTATTTTGGATTTTTGTCCATTTGAAATCCTGAAAGTATTAGTAATTGCTTCTTTCTTTTGATTCATTTATACTGCTTGTCTCCCTTTATATCTGCAGAACCCTGCTTCTGTTCATTGTGTATAATTTAATGCCAGTTTACTTGTCTCCCTGTTTATGTTTTGTAGAGTGGAAATCCAAGTCAGAAGAGTGTGAGAAGGAAATTCAAAAATGGAAGAAGCAGGCTTCTGAAGCTACAACATCCATATCCAAACTTAATCGCCAAATAAATTCTAAGGTCCAAAGATCTTTCTTTTATTGTTTTTCTCCTTACAATCAGATCTAATATTCGGATATGTCGGATGTTGATTAACTTGCCTGTACATGTGTTTTGTGATTTTACAGGAGACTCAGATTGATCAACTGGATGAACGGAAGGCAGACATTATTGAAAAGTGTGACTTAGAGCACATTGAGCTTCCAATAATTGCAGACCCAATGGAAACTGAATCTTCGAATGGGAAGGAGTATGATTTTAGTCAGTTAAATCGATCTCTTCTGCAGGATCGAAGGCCTTCTGACAGGGACAAGATTGAGGCAGACTTCAAACAAAAAATTGATGCTCTAGTGTTGGAAATTGAAAGAACTGCTCCTAATTTGAAGGCTCTTGATCAGTACAAAACTCTGCAAGAGAAGGAAAGAGACGTAACTGAAGAATTTGAATTAGCCAGAAAAGAGGAGAAGCAAGTAGCTGATGCTTACAATTCAGTTAAGCAGAAGAGGTACTAAACCATTAATGTGTTGCAACTCTGATCTTAGTAGCATAGTGAAATTAAAATAAATAGAGATAAATGGTGTTTAAATTGATTAAACCTGTTGAGACTTGGTGCCTAGATGGTATAATAATGTATTCGATGGCTCTTTATGCTGATTTCTTGATTGTGATTTGTAATGGTTTCTGAAAGCTGTTTGGTCTGCAATATCATTTATATGCGCAGCAAGGGAAAAATGGCGTGGGAAACTACCTGTAGTCTACTCAAACGTTTTTAAGCTTTGCCGATTGACTTTCCTTGATGATTATGCAGATATGAATTGTTCATGGAAGCTTTCAACCACATTTCTAGTAATATCGATAGGATCTACAAAGAGCTAACAAAGAGTAGTACACATCCATTGGGTGGGACAGCATATTTGAACTTAGAAAACGAGGATGATCCTTTTCTACATGGCATCAAATACACAGCTATGCCACCAACAAAGCGTTTCAGAGATATGGAACAACTATCTGGTGGAGAAAAAACTGTTGCAGCACTTGCACTTCTCTTCTCCATCCACAGGTACACCTGAGAGATTTAAATTATTCACTCTTTCCATTGTCAACTGTCGGTTGAATCTGTTGCCAGAGCTGCGGTGGATTCAACTTATTATAAGATGGTCGGATGGACTACCTTGGAAAGATGGGCTAAGTCATTTGTGATCAGAGAGGGTTGGCTTTCCATTTGTATTATGACCTAATATCGGTTCTCTTCATACATGCGTGTTTCAGCTACCGGCCTTCACCCTTTTTCATATTGGATGAAGTGGATGCTGCATTGGATAATCTAAACGTTGCAAAAGTAGCGGGATTCATCCGTTCGAAATCATGTGATGGTTCAAGGGCGAGCCAGGACACTGAAGTCAGCAGCGGTTTCCAAAGTATTGTGATATCACTTAAAGATAGCTTTTACGATAAGGCCGAGGCTTTGGTCGGGGTTTATCGGGATTCAGATATGGGGTAAAGTACTTAACACCAAACCTTGTTTCCATATTCCAGTGAAATTGCTTGTGCATCAGCCTAGTTTATCAATCCTAAATTAAATAATATCCTATCCCATGTTTTTACAGCTGCTCGAGAACGTTGACGTTTGACTTGACGAATTACCGGGAGGCATGAAGGAAAATGCAGGTTGCGGGGCTTGTTAATTATATGTACAATGTTGAAAAATACTTGTATATACTATGTGATTGATTTGCACATCAGATGCTAAGTACTAAAGTCTTTGATGTTATTGTATCTTGAGTACACAAATGTTTGGGCAGTGAGCGAGAGAATGAAGACTTTTGTACCTCTTTCCAAAATATATTAGTAATCAATCCAGCTAGGTCTAGGAGTTTAGCAATCGTCCTTAAACTTTTGAATGCTCCAATTTCATCCCCAAAGTCACCCAAATGTGCAATTAGTTTCAAGCATATAATAACCTGAATTTTATTTCATTTCATACATGCAATAAATTAATTTGGTTTAACAAGTTTACTAACAAAGGATGTGAGTAATATAGACATAGTTTGGAATGAAATTGAATGTTCAAAAAATTTGAGGATGAAAATGAAATGTTTAGAAGTTTGAGAATTAGTTCAGAATGATAGTAATATTTTAGGGATGAAATTGGAATATTTAAAAGTTTAGGTACAAATTTAGAATAAGTCATAATTTGAGGACTTATGATGAATTAACTCTTTATATGAATATCTTTCAAAGGATTTGCTAAATTGTTCATTTGATGGTGCCATCATCCATTTCCAACAAAACGATACCGTTTTAGCTGGTAAAAATAAATAAAGAAACCTGTTTTTACCTGGCTCATGTATTCGTTGTCATAAATTTGGAGCAAGCCAGATAAACAACGGTTGAAGCTTTATTTTTCGTTCAATCTTTGATTTCTTTCAACGGAGGAAAGACCGGAAACTGTAATAACAAAAGTCATGGGGGAGAACAGCGGCAAGATTCAGGACGCCGATCAGATAAAAAACGAGTTGTCCCTTCGAGCCGATGAGGCTAACGGCGAAGAAAACTATGAGGAAACTCTACCTGGTCATGAAGACGAAAAGAAAGAGAAGAACGCTTTGGTTGAATTGAAGTGGAGGTTTGAGGACGCCATTCAAGGGAATAAGGCTTTGATTGAATTCAGGAGTAGAATTGAGGATGCAATTCAAGGGAATTCTCTCCTGGGGAAACCAGACGGTTCTCAAGTCTGTCAAAATGAAACCCTAAACACGATCGGTGAGCCGGAAGAGATTAGACTCTGGGGTGTACCTTTGATGCCAAGCAAATCCCACGCAGGGACCGATATGGTGTTATTGAAATTCTTGAAATCGGAGAACTACAACGTCCATAACGCGTTCGAGAAGCTTAAGAAGACGTTGATATGGCGCAGGGAATTCAAGGCCGATGGAATACTCGAAGAAAACTTGGGCCCCTATTTCGAGAAAGTGGGTTATCACAGAACCGTAGACAGGAAAGGTCGCCCTCTGTTTTACAATGTGTATGGCGATTTGAAAGATAACCAAAATAAAATACTTGGTTCAGAAGAGAATTGCGAAAAGTTTTTAAGATGGAGGGTTCAGTACATTGAGAAATGTATCAAAGAACTCAACTTTGAACCCGGTGGAGCTGACTCAGTGGTTCAGGTAATGGACTGGAAGGAGTTCCATGGTCTTCACACAAGGGAACTACGTTCCGCTTATCGAAAATGGTGGACGATGCTCGAAGAATATTATCCTGACATCATCCATGGAACGGTAAAACAATCAATATATATAATATATACATATATACACACATTGAATGGTTGATGACTGATGATTTCTGCAAAACTATGGCAGATAATAGTAAATGTTCCCTTATGGTACCATGTATCCCATTCAGTTTCTTCACGGCTCACAACTCATAAAGCGAATTACAAGACCATTTTTGCCCGACCAGGGAGAGTTACAGGGACTCTTCTCAAGTAAGAAAAATGTCCATTATCCTCTTGCTTATATCATACTTAATTCCCCATTGTCATCACATCTGTTCGGAACCAACAGATTCGTATCCCCGGAAAACCTTCCAGTCGAATACGGAGGCCTCAAAAGAACCAACGACGACGAGTTCTCGCCTGACAACGAAGCAACAGAAGTCGATCTCAAAGAAAACGCAACAGCAGAAATCGAAATCCCCGCCAACCAGGTAAACAACACATGAAAATCGAATTTGACCCGAATTTGATTCGACTCACGTCCATGTATGTTTTGTTTAAAATGGTCAGGCTGGTGTGACGATGTTGTGGGATGTAACGGTGGTGGGATGGGAAGTGACATACAAAGAAGAGTTCGTACCGGAGGACGAAGGATCGTACAGGGTGATGTTGCAGGAGAAGGAAAAGAAAGGGGGAGAGAAACAGAGTATTAGGAACTCATATTATATAAATGAAGCAGGCAAGATCCTTATTTCGATTCATAATTACATGAACAAGTGCAAGAAGGTGCTTTATAGATACAAAACCAAAGCCACCGTTCCAGCTGCTACCTCTCGCAAAATGGAGAATAAAAATGAAACATGGAGATTAAGTCGTTCATTCTTGATTGAGTTACTGTAATAAAAATTTATTTTTTTGAAGTACGATGAATATTATTATAATTTCTAAATGGAATAATTAAAAATTGTTATTAGGAATCAAATACAAAATTATTAAATTCTGTATATAATTTTTATTATCCCATGCATATTTTTATTAATTCATATTATGAGTTTAATAAAATTTAATTATATTAATCAACTAAATCCATTATCCAACACTCATTTTGTCATACTACCCAACTCATATCCATTAATCTTTATTAAATAATTAAGCTTTAAAATTATATATATATATATATATATACAATCAATTTATCTAATCAATTTATCTCAGTAATTAAAGGAATTGTTGGTGTTCTTAGAGATAATGAGTTCGAGCACCAACGTTGTAGCAAGTAGGGATAACAATGGGTTGAGTTAGGGTAGGGTTTTGTCAACTCAACCTGACCCGAAATAGGTATCATCCACTTGAACTTGACCCAACCCAAAAAAATTATATCCTACATCCGACCCGATCCGACTCTAAAATATATATCCTCCATTCGATTAAGACCTAACCTGATTTTTAGAATATAAATCCGAGCCAACCGGACCCAATATAAATGAAAGATTTAATTAAAAATAATAAATATTTAAGGAAATTATATTATTATCCTCGGGTCGGGTCGAGTCGGAGTTTTTTCACTCTCCACCCGAACTCAACCTGACCTGACCTCACCCCTTAAAAATCCGACCCAGCCCAAACTTATTTTTTAAAAAAACCGACACTATCGATTCGGGTCGGAACCCATTGAATTCAGGTTAAATTGCCATCCCTAATAGTACCACAATTCAATCTAATATTGCCACAATTCACTGCACGCATCTTATTCTCAAACTACAAGCTCTCTCAAGTAACAATAAACAACCAACGCACACAGCCCTTTCTCCTTCTATGAGGAAAAATGATTTACCATTGGTTCCCAAATTTGCCACAAATTTATGAATCAACTATGACCCAGAATCAGAACATGACCCCTGTCCTCGAAAAAACAAGAATCTAAAAATATTGACCGATTGCTGATTTCTTCGAAGTTGAAATCCTTTAGAATGATTCAAGATGAACAAAGTCCTTGATAATCTCTTCTTCGTTACCTTCGAACTGAATACCAAGCTTCCTTTCAAGCTCAATAGCTTTCTTAGCTTCTTGAATAAGGATTTGATTCCCACTGTGGAGGTCAGAATCTGAGAGTGAAACCTCAGAGATTTCATTCGTGATTACTCCCTTGCTTTATTGTTTGCACTTCTTGATCGCACGGTTTTTCCTTTTTTTCTCAAAGCTAGATGGCACCTTGTCTTGAAGTTCAAACATAGAGCCATATTTTCTTGCTCGATTCCCTTGGGCTGAATTCATTAACTCTGAATCCGCAACAGCAGGGGCTTGTGTTATTGAATAATGGGATACGGTTCTGTTGTGATAGTGAATAATCATTATACGCAACTGCGTTTCAAATTATGATAGAATCTTTGAATTTTTGTATAAATTTTAATTACGGAATGTTTATCTTTTTCCACATGTAATTGATTCCCGAATCATTTAAAATAAATCTCCGATTATCTAATGTAAAAAAATTAATGACAACTCTAAAAGATAAATTCACTAAGGTTGAAATATGATTACGGGTCACTCAAAAGAATGTTGAGAGATAACTTATATTATGTCTGTTAAAATATTAATGAATATACTACTATTTTATAACTTTGTTCTTAAAAACAACAATTATATTTTAGGATAAATTACAAAAATAGTCACCAAACTTTTAGGGTGCTTGTACTTTGGTCACCTAACTTTTAAAACTTACAATACAATCATTAAATTTTTAGTTTATTTTTAGTAAGCTCCCTGACGCTATCTCCCCTGGTTTTATTGAGGTGACATGTTATCTCCCGTTAAACCTTCTTCTTCTTCTCAACATAAACCTGCAAAAAGGATAAACTTTGATTTTTATACTTTATCTAATTTCTTTGCATAGATTTTTATTCGGCTATGAAGGTTTCTCAACAGTTTGCTGAATGTATATCATTGTCGAACTCCAACACAGTTCTAAGTACGAGTTGCGTCTAACTTTACAAAAGCTACATTGGTCACAATTGAACCTCATACCGAGGATGATTGGGAAATTTTAGACTTCAACTCTGAGCACGTTGAAGATGCAATCTTAAAGCAGGTAAGATTAATAAACTGTAATTATAATGAATGAAACGAGTGTTTCTGAACAAATCTCAGTAATGGGACTGAGGTGATTTTGGAGACTTGTCCGCTTAATAATCTCGAATCGAAAAACTCCGATGTCTCAGACGACTGAGGCGATAGAGGATGCGAGGGGGAAATGTTTCACGTTAATTGTTTTCAATCTACCAGAAAATCTCCACTATCAAGGGTTACGGCTTGTCTTTGACAACTATGGTATAGTTGTCGACTCTTTTATCCCCAGCAAAAGAAGCAGAGGGGGAAGCAGGTTCGGCTTTGTCCGATTTGCATGATGGATGATGCAAAACGAGCTATGGGCTGCCTTGATGGGAGTAGAATTCACGGTAACAAAATCCGGGTCTACATGGTGAGGTATACAAAACCGGGTCTACTTAAGGAAGCTGAGAGAGCATGTGAATTTGGAAAGAAATTTGGTTTTCAAATTGAAGGGGATGAGCAGGAAGTTATTTTGGAGCTGACAAGGTTAGACGGTTATTAGGATCTAGGTTTCGGTTACAGGGCTACTGTTTTTTTCTTTGTGATGTTTCAAAGGTGGTTTCAAGGTTGTATGGTATTGATATTCCCAAGGAGCATCGGCGTTTTCGTCATCATGATATTATGTTTTGTAAGAGATGTAAGGATCAATTGTTTGGTAGTGTGGCAGCTTGCGAGATATTGAGCGAGACTCGATTGCATCAATTATACTCTCGTGATTGTCTTTAGGTACGTCGGATTTTTATTGATGTCCTATCGTTTGAGTAATCGTTGTGATTTTTTTCTCCTTTTATTGATACTTTCCTAGGGTTTTAATATTTTTCCGGGTTGTAGTGCTTTTGGAGTACATGTTAGGGAGTTCTTTAGTAGAACATTGGAGAGTTGAAGTGTTTTGGTGGGTTAATTTAGGTGTGGATCTCGTATGAATTCCTTTGAGATCATTATATATCCACTTTATGTGAATATTAAATAAAATAAAATATTTTCCGTGGAAAAAAAAGAGTGTTTCTTCATCCACCTTAAGCAGATAATATTAGTGATAATTTGTTGCTAAATATACTTCGATGTGTGCTTTTTTATCCACCTTAAGGAACTCACCATCTGTTCGATGTGTTTCTTCTTACTACTCTACTTTTTTCAATGCCTGTTTTTGCTTTTTAAAGGAGAAGAAAAAGCTGACATTACTGTTCTCACTTTCATTAATGTTACGTAAAAAGATTCCATGCATGCATGCAGGGATTTATTTAAAGGGGGTATAATGCTGCAGTGAAGAAGGAAATTCTTGTAATTTCACTTTCTCCGTGCCACTTCAAGATGGTTGCAAATGATAAGGCTCTTATAAAACTCATTTCCGATATTTGATTCAGGAACCACTTTAAAAGTAATAAATTGGTTAAACCATGAGAATATTGTTGTTGCATTTTCTTGTGAATTTTCTTGCCAAGAAGCTAAAAGATTGCAATCATCAAGATGATAATAAGAAGGGTTTGATCTTTGCAGATATCACAAGTTTCATTTCTTGCCAACAAGGTTCTGGCCATATAAGAAACAATGTAGGATGAGCAAAACAAAGCAGCCTCAAAGGAACAAGGCGATGAACAGAGAAGTTCTGGAGAGGATATCAACCGTCTTCGTCCATAACATACCGGAAAATTTTCAATGGAAGGGTCTCCGGAATCATTTTGGGAAGTATGGTGAGGTTGTGGACAGTTTCATCCCATCAAAACGAAGTACAAAAGGTGGTAAATTTGGTTTTGTTAGGATGGAGAATAGGGCGGATGCACTCAAAGCCATAAGTAACCTGAACGGCAGTATGGTAAATGAAAATCGGTTAATGGTCTCGATAGCTAGATACAAAAGAAGGGACCAGTTCTGGAGAAGAAAGAAGGCGAAAGGGCTACCAGAAAGAGTAGCCCAAGGATCACCTAATGCCAGAAGAGAGAGAGAACGGTAAAGGGGTAACAGAAGATAGACAAACTAGGAAACTTGAAGAAAGTAATGTTGGAAATAAAACACTCACACAAACAATTTTTATTGAAACTCAAACAAATATTACAAGAGTACTCTCACTCAAAAACAAGAACTACAACTCACTTTTATAAGACTTTGCTTCTTCACTCACTTAAAAGCTCTTAATTTTTCTTGATGCTTAAAACTAAAATGGGAAGGGGGTATTTATACTACTCAAGAACAATCCTACACCACACAAATAAACTAATTTAAACCATTACAAAATTCAACAAATATCTAACTCTCACCTAACTAAATTGATGTAAGCAATGACATCATTAATTAAATGATGTAAGCAATGACATCTTTAATTAAATGATGTAAGTAATGACATCAATTTAGTTTGGGTTTGGGTTTAGGCTCCCATAATGGATCAAGTTTATGATCCAACACCCTCCCGTAAACTTGATCTCGTGACCCCTAGTAGGTTCCTTAATCTTAAGAAGTCTTCGTTGGTCAGTGGCTTGGTAAAAATATCAGCAACTTGATCTTGTGACTTCACATATTCAACTTCCACATCTTTTCTTGCAACACACTCCCTTATATAGTGGTAGCGAATATCAATGTGCTTGCTTCGATCATGGAATACTGGATTCTTCGCTAAGGCAATGGCTGACTTGTTGTCGACACAAACCTTGGTAGGCTCTTCTTGTATCAAACCAATCTCCTTCAATAGATTTCTAAGCCAAATTGCATGACAAACACATGAGGTAGCAGCAACATATTCCGCTTCACAAGTGGACAATGTGACAATCAGTTGTTTCTTTGACATCCATGTGAATGCAATATCTCCCATG